ACTATTTATAAAAATACTAATAATAAAAATAATAAATAAAATAATAAGATAAAATAATTGAAACTCATTTTATAACAGTATTATGATAATTTGGTAATATTAATTAATAAAACTAAAATCATAAAATATTTATTTATAAATACTTAATTTAAATACTTATTTACAATTAATTATTTAATACTCTTCGAATAGTGCGTAAATATAAAGATGATTTTATTAATTTTAAAATTAGCTAGATACATTAATTTGAAAACAACTATAATAATAATTAATATTTTTAGTATTATAAATACAAAGTTTTGTCAAATCATATTAAAATTTTTATACTTTTTATATAACGCAGGTTTTTGAGCGAATATTGATTAATACATAATAACTATAGGAATTTTTACTTTCTAAAAAATATACCAATACAATATTTTTAATTTTTACAGATTCGGATCGTATCGGATCAGGTCGGGTCTACTTGATACGGTTTCGGATCCTAAATGGATCATGAACTAGGAAAACAGCCTTTTGACGATTTTTTAAAAATTTTGAGTTGTTTGATTCAAATTAAAGTGCTAGTTTCTATCTACATATATTTCGAGATTTTTCAATTCGAAAAAAACAATTCTTCGAAAATTTCATATTCTAAAAATAGATTGACGATCAAAGAGGCGAGTAAGTTAAAGTTAATTAATAAACACGTGATATCAAATAATTGGATGTCTAAAAATAAATCAAAAATTTAAACAACAGAAATTTAGGTAACACAAACTATAATCGGCATTTTCTCAAAATGGAAACTACCCTTCGGTTTTTCGGATCGATTCTGGATCCGTCCGATACGGTCCGAACTGAACACTAGCTGTAATTTTTAGAATACTACCCCGGAGCACAGATTATAATTTTGCGATTCGAACTAACTTTCAGCAATCTTATTAATACTTTAACAATGACTGATCCTATTGCAAGGACAACACCCAGACCTAAAGTTTCTTTAACCATTTATAATAGATTAATTAAAAACGAAACCAAGCCAGCACAAAGCATAAAGTTAGAACAATGGAAACGGCTGCAAGAATTAAAGAGAAGACGAGAAGAAGTTCAAATTAGCTGTAATAAGAAAAAAAAAAAACAAGACGATCGTTTGTCCACAAACTATCAACAAGAAGTAGACTTAAAACGTTCAGATTCATTATCTTCATCAAGTCAAACTACTTCACAGTCATCAATAGGCCTTTTCGATCAGACAATTCGTCAAACTATACCAAAAAGTCTAATAAAATATGTAAATATGAATTCTCATTTGAAAGATGTAGATCATGGCCGCCTAGCTCCAAAGGTATTTTTAAGATATTTTCTCTATATCTTAATATAATTGTCATTAATACCTTTATTTGAAGGGCCGATTAGAGAAAGAACTTGATAAAGCTGTAGAAAACGGTGATTTGGAACTAGCTTCAAAAATTAGCGATCAGATTTCACAAAGGAATTTTGAAAACACAATGCGAGAAGCAATAGAACGTAAAGAATACGATGAAAGAAAAAAAGTAAAGTATTAAACGTCTTAAATCAAACTATTGACAGATTATTTTACATATTTTTGAATAATCATGCGTTGTTTACAGCACGAAGAAGAATTAAAAGCAAAAAAGAAAAAACCAAAATTAAAATGGGGGTATGTAATATCTTTTTGTTAAATTTATTAAATAATATAATTTATTAGATAATTTACTAGATAATATAATTTATTAAATATATAATTTACAATTAGATTTGAATCAAAACATCGTTGGGAGACTAAAAGCAATATGTAAACAAATAAAGAAAACTAATACAGAAAAGAAAGGGCTTATGGATAATTCGCCATTCAAAAACAATAAATATTATAAATTCATTTAATCATGTGTCTTATTTTGCTCATTTAATCAGGTATCTTATTTTGTTCATTTAATCAGATATCTTATTTTGTTCATTTAATCAAGTATCTTATTTTGCTAAATTCTATCGAATAAAAAAAAAAAAAGATATATTAAAATTAGGTAACCGTTTACTACGCATCTTCTCGACTTTCCTCATTTTAATATGAAAATATAAAGATGTTAAAGAAAAGAGTATTCGCCAATCTTTAGTTCGGCTTATTTTGATTAATATATATATATAATATAATTTCAAGTCACAAGTAAATAAATCGGCTTTTTTTTTAAACCTAGCTTTACCCTACGATATAAATTACATCTTTTTTTTTTATTATTCGTTTAAAACAACGTGCGGTACATATTGATATTCCGTCAATGAACAATTTTTTTCCAAGTTTGGTTGTATATCGTCCTCTTTATCATCGGTTGCCTCTCCGAAAGGCTTTATTTCCGCATTCGTGTTTTGGTCAACCACGATACGCATAAATCCACGATACATTTCCACGCGTGCGTTATGAATAAAGACGCATGTTTGCGGTTGGAGAAGTGATATTTGGTCTAATTATTAAGTAGAAAAAATATATTTCAATTTACGTAGGGAATATTTTATTATAAACATTAGATATATATACCGTTAATTGCTTTTAAAATTATACATCCAGAAGAATCTCCAACAAGAAATTCGGCGACTTCAATTTTCGACAAGTCGAAAACAGGTTCAGGTTTCTTTTTTGGAGTATTAAGATCTTCAGTGTTAGTAGTTTGGGGCTGTTCCACATTTTTTGCTTTTTAATTTATCGTGATAAAACTCAGCCAAGAAGTTCCTTGTGATATGTTCTTCTCAAATGGACACTATGTGAGAAAACACACTAACTTGATTTATTACTGTCGTCCACTTCACCGAACATAATTTGTGCAATAACTTTTATGCGAAGGTTTACTTGATGTTGATCTGGTAGTAAATCTACCACTTTCACATCTTTTACCTCAATGAATATATAATAAAGAATTAGCTACTAATGAATTCTTAACAGATTTAAATATATAATGCTCTCTTACATGCTTTTGGAGACATTTTGGATCAAATTTCTTTAACGATATAGACCAATTAGACCAGTTTTTAATTAGTTAAGTTACACGAAATGATAATCACTTTTTAACGTTAATACAATAATATGAATTTAATTCTTTGAACTAAGGAAGAATATAAAACTGACTACCGGTATATAAACTTTAATTAGTTGTGTTTTTCATTTCTTAAAATTTATTTTTTACTCAATTTTTTAAATTTAATACGAGAGTTGTAATATATTGATTACTTGTAATTATTTAAATTATTAATAAATAGATAGCAAAATTGTCACCTTAAAAACATTTTAAATCATAATTCTTCAACAAATGTTTGAAAATTTATAGAGAAAAGAGCGTAATTTAATAGTTCAGAATAAAATTTACACTTTTACACTTTGTGAAATTTTTGAATTTTTACTTGAGATGTAATTTAAGGAATAAATTTTCGCTACCGCTACTAATAGTCAGTAAATTATTGTCAAAAAGCAAGTTTTTCTTGATTAAATTTATAGTCAGAACGATAAATAAAATGCATTTTGAATATTGTAATTTAGCAAAAATTATCAATTAATTATATAATTAAAAAGTTTAAACGATATTCAAAGTAGAATAAATTTGATGAGAAATTATTAATAAATTATGTTAACAGATAAATCGATATATTAGAAAATACTAAAATGTTATAAAAAAAATTCAAAATTTATTATTATCTTTTCGGATGTTCTATAGAATAGGTGGGCAATATAAGAAATAAGCTTCGCTAATGATTAGTAATCATTAATTTTTAATATATTCAGCGGAGTTAAAAATTCGGGCTTTTTAGAGCGCCACACGCGCTCCACGACGTTATCATCGGGGATAGTTAAAAAAAATTTTTTTACTTAAGCCCTAAAAATAATTTCATAATTACCTGTAGTATATACGTATAAATTAACTATGTTTTTTGATTACGTAGTAACTTATCTGATATCTATATTTATTATTAATATATATTTTCTGCTTGGTTTAGGCTAATTGCATCACTATCAAAATAACGCAAAATAATATCATGATTGGGTAATTGTTATTCTAAATACCATTCCTTTAACAGTTAACTTAATTAGCAAATTAGTCGATCTAAAACCTAAAAACCCAATTTCTTTTATAAATTCTCCATTTATGTATTAAACCATTTAACTATTACTAAACTAACTATTTAAGGAAATCTTCAAGAAAGGTGTCGTATTAAAAAGTTTTTATAACGACAAAAACTTTAAATTTTTACAAAGCGAAGACTTTATACTTGCATCATAATGGCACTGAATTGGGTAATGATTGCTTCTGATGGGAAAAGTCCAGTTCCCCTTCCTGGAGAAAAAATATTATTCAGGTTTGAACTAGTACAACTCTGTCTAGCCTCCTCCGGGTCTAACATTGAATTAACTAGATTCACTAAAATATAGACAAGAAAAAGTTAACTTTTTGCTAGAAATTGGCGGGTAAGTTATGTTTTAATTAAATAAAACTTTTAATCTGAAAACAAAATTCATGACACAGTCCTTATTACTTGATTAGTGGATATCCCGGAAATCCGGGTGATTTTAAAGCTGAAGGAAATATTTTTATTACGAACCAACGTGTAAGTAAAATGTTTTAAAATGTGAAAAATCAACTTATTTTTAACACTATTTTTTTTTTTTTTGATCAGGTTATATTTATTTCTCGCCCATCTCTACCTGACTTTAAATCTTTAAGCATACCTCTTTTGAATTTGAGAGAAGGAAAACTTCAACAACCTTGGTTTGGGGCTAATTATTATCAAGCAAATTTAATGCCAGTGAGTATTTTATAACTTTATAATTTGGTTTACATTAATTATTTTTGGATGTTAATTTCTCATTTTTTAACAAAGGTACAAAATGGTGGATTACCATCTCCCGGACAGATGAAAATTACCTTTAAAGAAGGAGGTTGGGTTGAGATCATTGTTTGTTATTAATAATTTAACATTTATGCTAATATTTAAGTGCAAACAAAAAATAGGTGGATATGACTTCAGCTCATGTTATACCGAATTGATACAGAGGCTAACGGGTGAGTTTTAAGTTAGTAATAATTAGTAATCGTTAATGCCAAATAGTCACTTTGATTTAACGATTTGCTATTTAATAGAGAATGATGGTTTTGTTCATGTTGAGCATACTGAACCATTACCGACTTATACGCCACGAGAAGATTCCACATCGCCGTTAACAACTACACAAACATCAACAGCGGCATCTGATATTGCTGCACCAATGGAACCACCATTCATTAATGCAACTTCACCATTCATTAATGCAACATCACCATCTCAATTTACTTTTGTAAGATCTCCAGATGAGTTACCGCCAAGTTATGATGAAATAGCAATTTGATGTGTGAGTCAATATATTCCTATCACAATACTATCGTATTTATTAGATCATATTTATTAATACCTAATAAGATATTCCTATCAATGTTAGTCATCAAGATACTTATTCATAATTCCTATCGTTTTTAATAACAATTATTTTAGCCTTAGGTATCAATGAGAAATAATTAATAGGATTTAATAATTTTTTGTGAAGGCCGTACATTTAGTTTTTTTTTTTTTAAAAAAAAAAATGTCACATTAAGCTTTCCAAATTTCTAGTAAGAAAATGCTCTGTAATGAAGATGAGTATACCATTTCTTTTTTACAAGTTTCTTCAGATATATTATTTATAGAATCCTTATTACTACCAATATCGTTATCACTATCAGTATCGTTAACAAAGCATTCATCATTAAACTTAGTATATTTGTCATAATCAAAGTTAAACGATTTAAGAGATATTTGTCGACATTTAAGTTTCCATTTATCTAATAAATATTGAATAGTTCTTTTTGAACTTCAAAAAGGATTACGAATATTGTTAAAATTTAACCTAAGTAATTGATATCTAAAGAAATATAATACTACCTTCGTTCTTGATATGAAGTTATGAACTTTGCTTTTTGTGCGTGATAGTTCAATATATATGCAATGGTTGCAATTATATCCTCAAAGTCTAAATTTTAAAAATATCAAAATTGAAATTAAAAAATAAAACGCAAGAAAATGTATTACTTTAATAAATAAATACCTTTTGGATCATAAAATGTATCACTACCCATAATCCAATCTAAAGTTTTATCATTTTGTTCAACATCATGTAATAATTGCAATAAATTTCCTTCTTCATTTTTTTTATTACCAAGGTAGAATTCACCCCAAGTTAATCCTCTAATCCAAACATTTGATCCTTCAAAAGTGTCATTAGATGTTACCAATAATCTATTTAACCGCGCACCATCATGTATATTTTCAAGGATCTGCGGACAATCGGATCGATCGGTTAATATAACATGCGTTTGATTTGATAGTGACGCGCATAAAAATCCTGGTAATGAAGTTCCTGCTCCTATCTGATATTGTATTTAAGTTGTTATTATTGAATAAAGTCATAGTCGCAAGCCATATAAGTAGAGGTCTGCAACTCTGGTACATGGCCATGCCTATTAAATAAACAGACCCAAAAATTTGGACACAGGCACAAGCATGGGTATAAAAACTTATACATACATACATGGGTATAGACACAAAAATTTAAACATTGACATAAGCAAAGGCAAAAAACTTGGACATAATCAGGTCATGAAACCCAAAAAACTATTTAATACAAAAAATACAAACACTTTTTTAGACATAGATATGAAATATCTGTTTTAACAATTTCAAGCTATACATTTGTGTTTGTATTTTAACATTTTGTACCTGTGCTCATAATTTTTGCATGTGCCAATTATAGTGTCAAACATTTTTTATACTATGAGCATAGGCATGCCATAGTGTCATATGCCTAGTACTGGCATTTGCAAAACCCTACAATAAACTAAAGAATTATTACTTCTAGAATAGTTTTATCTTTAAACAAATCACGTTTATTCCATATGTATTCTGCTAAAACAAATGCCGATGGCCATACATAACATCCATATGACGAATGGAGTAACTAGAATATATTAGAATATTATTATCTCGTTTTTTTTTTTTTTTTGGATAATTAACAAAAACAATAATAAATACTTCTTTAATTATAATTGTCCGGGATTCGCTTTTATTATGAGAATCCTTTCCGAAATGAAACGTTTTTGTTGAATTCATAAATTCTAATTAGAATATCAGATTTTGTATTTAAGGGAATTATGATGTAAGCATTTATTAATTTTCATCTACACTTTTCTATTGGTTGAGATTGTTCACACCAACTTATATGTCACTTTCTTTTTAGTAAAATGTGGCGCAAACTAGCTTTAGCATGCTATAAATTATATAAAATTTAAATTTCATATCGATATTGGCTAAGATTAAGTAGAAAATTTATACGTAAAATATGAGATCGCAACTCATAATTGTTATAAATTTATTAAATGATAAATGATAAATGTAAATGTAAATATAGTAAAAGAAGATACTGGGTATCTGTTAATTGTGATGAGCCCTTTAATAACTATTTTCTCTTATTTTTTTTTTTTATTTCCCTACATTTATTTTGAATCTGATTGATTGTTCTGTAACAAATGTATACATGCTATAAGTATACTCGCCGGCCAAACTATCAGTCTTCAAAAATCCCACCCAAATCTCAGAAATAATAAAATCCAAGAGTTTTGCCGGCAAGTTTAGCTTATATAGGATCACATAATCGCCACTATGGCGTTATTAATGGTTGGGTATGATAGTATGATTGGGTTGAGGTAAATCAATTGCCTGGTTGACTCATTTATAAAGTACGTAACGTTTCACTAACAAAAAAAATAAAAATAAAATAAAAATTTGATTAAAAAAAAATATCAAAAAAAAAAAAAACCCAGCGAACTTCACTTAAAAGATAAATATTTACTATTTATTACTATTACTAACTATATACAAGTCACTCTTGTTATAGTGAAGTAATCTGGGCTATTAATAAGAATCTTTTTAAAAAAATGTCACTTTAATGAGAGATTTATTAGTAAGTAAATTCACTATATTGAGAGAATTTTATATAAAATTGATCTTAAGCCTATCTTCACGAAAGTTCACTATAATGAGAGTAACTTGTATATATATATCGCATAGTGTGTTTATTCTTTACATACAAAATCGACCAGCCGATTTTGAAAAAAAAAATCGACCAATCAGGTCGAAAAATTGGCTTAGCCGATTTTTTTTTTTTATAGTTATCGGCTAGGATCACTATTTTCATCTTGTGAACTAGGATCACTATTTTCATCTTGTGAACTACCGGTTCGTTCCCTTTCTTCCCTTTCTCTTCTTTCCCTATCTTCATCTTGTGAACTAGGATTACTAATTTCATCTTGCGAACTATCGGTTCGCTCCCTTTCTCTTCTTTCCCTATCTTGCTCCAAAAGGCTTAATCGAATTGCTTCCATAACCATTAGCTCTTCTAGATCAGTACCCATTCTCATAGCTGCTAAGTACCCTCCATACTCGGCAGCTGCTGTAGGGGGAGGATTGGTGCGTCTAGGCGGAGTAGTTGAAGTTACGAAAGTAGGATTGCCTCCACCTGGACGAACTACAATACGCCGTGAACTGCCAGAAGGAGCCGCAGGAGATGGTCGTCTCGCGCCAGGCGGTTGACGTAGAGGTTGTTGAAGTACACGTGCTGCCCAATCAGGCCGTATCTGATCTTAATTTGGCGAATTATTAAAAAAGTAAAATTTTTTTTTTTTTTTAATCAACTCAAAGATTAGTAAATAGTAAATAATATGAAAATAACTATTTTAACTATTAAAATGTGATATTATTTTTATTTTTTTTTAAAAAAAAAAGAAAAAAATTGATAGAAACCAATCACGTGAATAGTAATTGAATTATAAAATATTAAATTACCAGTGGTAACAACTTCAGAGTCTTTATGACTTATGCTCCTTCGCCGAGCTTTACCATCTGACACATTGTTAAGCGAAGATGTTGATGATGTAGGTGATGTAGATGGTGGAATATTTGGATTTGGAATCATAACAGGCTAAAAAAAATATATTTATATATAAACATTTTAAATACGTAATAAAAATTTTATACTGGTCAACGAAAAATGTAACAAAGATTTACCATGTTTTCAATACCATTAAAAGTTGGAGGTTTATAATAGACACCAAAATTTGGTTCTACACAGTAAGGACATACAGCAGGAGAGTTGTTGGCTCCTAAAGAACCATTTTCTGGTCGTTTTATTTGAACGAAACATTCGGTACAAATTGGCTGGTCACAGCATCGAGAATGATTGATGTTTCGTGGATAATACTATATTATTTAATATTATTTTAAGTAAAAGAAAATTGAGCAAGTTTAGGGAATTAATAGGAACAGACTTTGAAACGTAAGAATAACATCTGCTCTCAATTCCATAGTTTTAATTGATAAAAAATATCTTTTTAATTTACGCGAGAACCTAATTAATTGCACCTTCCAATTAACCGCATAAATGCACTTCAATAATGTTGTAATGGGCTGATATTTAATTTCTTTGACTAACTTTGCTCAATTGAGAAAAGTATTTCTAATATTACTCACCAAAAAGCAGATAGGGCATTCAACGGCACCCTTATATAGCTGAGACTCTAACGTTTTTACTGGAGACGCTTCTTTGCCTTTAGTTGTTCCTGATACGTTTAATGTTGTTGCTCGTTTTATTTCTC